GTGAACACACTGCTTTTGAAAAAAGGCTTTTTTTATAGGAGAGGGGGCAAACGAGCATGCGGCTCACCTGATGGTAAGTGACTACCGCCGCCCATGAACAACCGCAACACCAGGGGAATTGCAGCTGCGTTACCGGCCTTTTAAAAAGGAGTAGGCTCTTTTCTTGAAGGTCCCTAAGTCGTATCGGTCCGGAAAAATCGCTGATGGTAATCGATCCCACAACGAAGTCGTGCGAGGAAGAAAACATCTTCGAAATCGCACAGTGGTGGACTGCCAATCATCCAGATGGTGTGGATGGTATCGGGAGTTCTGCCGCGATGTGCGTTCGTGAAATTTGGCGGCTGGGATTAATCCGAACAATTCCTCAGAGCACTCTCCGTGGTAGATGCGAAAGAAAATGCAAAGGGATGCAACATCTCTTCGCAGTGCCAATGAATCGGGCCGATCGGAAAGGACTCGGTCGTCGACGATTCGAGCCGATCTGCGCTGGATGCGGTTAAGTGAAAGGAGCTGGCACTGGGGAGCCCCTGCCCAGAGATGGGAACAGTATTCCATGTGAGGCCGAATCTGCGCCTTGTAAAGTTGCAGGCGGTGTGCCGGCATGAAATACTGTCCCGCTCTGCTGAACACGCAAAGCTTTTTAGAGGCCAATTTGGCCTTCTCTTTCAAGTGACCACGAAACTGCACGTCACTCGATATGTTGACTGCGAGGATTCCGATACTGGCTGAGGCAAGAAGGGGAGTGCCTTGAAACTGAGGAGATACGACAAAGCAGTTCTTTTTAGCGGTAAACGCGCAAACTTGTTTCTTCTGAGGATTAAACTGGACTAAATTTAGTCGCCCCCAATCCGAGACTTTGTTCAGCAAAGGCTCGACTTCAGACACAAGTTTCTTGCGGTACTCAGCGACGTTTTCCCGAGAAATATTGGTACGGCCGGTGTATAGAGCATCACCAGTGCTGTTATCCGCATAACAATGAATGTTACCAGTTAGCAACATATCATTGATATGCAGAAGAAACAGCGTTGGTGATAGCACACAGCCTTGTGGAACACCAGCGTTAATAGGCTTGTAGTTGGAGCATGCCCCGTCTACAACGAGCTTGACTTCGCAATGTCCAGACTAACGGCCAACGCCTCCCCCTTGGACTCTACTGCCTTCGCCCATCTATGGGTCAGGTAGACCAGAAGATCACCAGCTGATCGACCCCGACGAAAACCGTATTGGCGGTCACTAATCAGCTGGTGATTTCAAGGTACCGGATGAGCTGGCAGTTAATAATGGATTCCATTATTTTGGAGAACAAGGAGGTGATCGCGATAGGCCTATAGTTGGACGGGTCTGAGCGGTCGCCCCTTTTAGCTGACAAAAGCTGTCTTCCATGAATTCGGGACTACGCCCTGGGAGTAGGAGTACCGGAAAAGACGCATTAGGACCGGTGCCAACTCCGGAGCACACGTCCTCAGCACAATTGGAGGGATTCCGTCAGGCCCACTCGACTTCTGGATGTCCAGGGAGAGGAGTGCTTTGTGAAAGGTCGGCTTTGTCTTTTGCGGCTTGGGTAAGTGAATCGTCCTCCCTGTGCAGAGATGGTAATGATGGCTTACAGAAATTCCCTTGGACAGCCTTGGCGAGAGACCAGAATGCACGGGTTCCCGAAGGAAGGCGAACTAGTTTCTTGCCAATTCTGCCTATGTGCTCTGACTTTGCCTTGGCAATAACTCTTTTGAAGGACCTGGAGGCGAAGTTATACTTCTTTTTAAGTGTGCTGGTGTTTACATCTCGAGTCACCGAAGCCGCAGCCCAGGCTTGATAACACTCCTGCTTACTGCGTAATGCAGTCTTACAGGAGCGACCAAACCAAGGCTGAGATCTGCCACCGATGGGTACCACAGATGATGGAATAAATAGTTCCATTCCCTGTAGCACCACATCAGTGACAGAGTCAGCAACAGCGCTGGGATCATCCGGCGAGAAGCAAACCCACCCCCATGGGTAGGATGCAAAGAAAGACCGCATTCCGTCCCAATCCGCAGACCCAATCTGCAGAACGCAACCGCGAGGGGAGCGTGAGTGGCACCACACTCCGGATCAGACAATGATCCGAAGAGCCGAGAGGGGCATCGACGGTAACCTGATATCCGTCCGGATGAGAGGTCAGTAAAAGGTCCAACAGGGAAGGTGTATGATCCTTCACCTCTGGAATCCGCGTAGGCGAAGTAACCAGTTGTATCAGACCATATGCCAAGGCAAAGTGTTTGTACTTAATTAACTAATATGTATTTTTATTATATATATATATATATATATATATATATATATATATATATATATATATATATATATATATATATATACTTATATGTATTTTGGAAAGTTTAAAGGCAGTGTAGAAAATTTCAAATGATTTTTAAATGTTTTTGGTATTTTATAATTTTAATACGGACTTCAGTTTCGATCTTTGACGGGTTGCACGGTTTTAACAGAATTCTTTGATTATAAGTAAAGGTTTACTTTAGAATTCTTATGAAGTGACTAAACTTTTTCAGAATATTTTGAACTGTTATCAAGCTTTATTAAATAACGTAATTGAATTATTTACTAATAGGTGTGTGTTTCAAACAAAATTTGGTTTTGAATTCAGGACACTTCACCGCTCACGGAAGTTTTAAGTTTCCGATTTACCCCCTGTAAACGAGTATGCGGCTCACCTGGTGGAAAGTGTCAACCGCCATCTATGAACAACAGCTACTCCAGAGGAATTGCAGATTGCAAATGGTACGCTAATAATTTTACACGTGTTTGTTTAAATTCAAATAAACATTTCCATATGTTTTTCCTAATAAGCATCCATCAAGATAGATTATTAGACCAATAATTACTTTCAATACCCTGCTGAGACCAAGTGATAAATTTGGCTGACTTGTCTAAGTGCCAGCCATAAAATAAATATTTACGAGCAAACGATCATTGATTCTACTTGGAGAGACAAATAAATATTGTCGCATCATTATCTTTAATTATACCTATGTATACGTATGTAACTGTTTCATAATAACCTCCGACTGGTTTTTAGTAGGCAGATTGATTTTATTAATGTTAAGATATTTTTAAATAACAATTGCCTCTTAAATTATACTTGATACATTTAATAATTTCACCACTAAGTGGGTCATGTGCTCCTGGTAGATATCTACATCCATTACAGCCTATCACAAAGTTCACTGCCTAACATAGATTACCTCATAGCGGGGATATTTTCCATAGTTGTAATGTTACTGTTGATTTAATAATTTCACCTCTCACTGGGTCATGTGCACATAACATTTTAGCCTATCAAATAAAAAAAAATTATTTTATGAAAATTTGTGTTCTATCAAATCCTATATAATGTCAGGAGCGGTCCGGACGTTCACAGAATTCCCGAAACGTCGGTGTTATCTGTTTTTCTATGCGGACTTTTATCGATCATTTCTTTTTTGTAAACATAATAAACGCCATAAAATACAAGTAAAAGTCTCTAAATCCCAGCAAATATAAAATTTTGCACAATATAATATAGTATTCGAAGAAATATAATAACTAATTACATTTGATTGCTTTAGGCTCTATTTGCGCTTTCACTTATTTTATAAAAATATAATTGTTATACAGTGGTTAAAAAATCTGAGTCCTAATAGTATAGTAAACTCAAGGAGACTGATTAACGATGAGCAGTGGACTTTTACGGGCTGGTGTAGAAATAAGATTTGTACATTTATCTGTTTATTCATTCATTATCTTCACACCCTTCACAAGTCCACTGCTGAACATAAGCCTACCCCAAGGAATGCCACGAAGCACGGTCTTGAGCCACCTGCATTCATCGATTTCCTGCATGTCTTACCAGGTTGTCACTCCATCCTGTGGGGGTCGTCACAGTCTTCGCCTACCGGTACAAGGCTGCCACTCGGGAACCTGTCTTCCCCATCGGTTGTCGGTTCTTCGAGCTATATGCCACTTCAGCTTTCTAATCCGTTGGGCTATGTCGGTCACTTTGGTTCTGCTGCGGATATCCTCATTTCTAAGTTTACCACTCAAAAAAACCTCAAGCATAGCCCTCTCCATAGCTCGCTGTGTGACCTTGAGCTTGTTATTATCCATTCATTCATTACAACCTGTACCTGAACACAGGCGTGTCCTAAAGGTTGCCTATATTGTCCAATATTTGACATAAATGCCCGTCTAGGATTGGTAAAAGCAGTATTTTTTACAGACTATGTACTCACAAAACTGACTTTTTTAACACTTTTAGAGTCGCTGTAAAGCTTAACCCTTTCACGTACAAAACTGACGTGTAAAAGTTTTTATGTTAACGATTGGTTTAAGTTGTGTGTTGAGGGATATTATAAGCCTATTTGTGGTAAAAATTATAAAAGAATCAGCAGTCTATCCTGTAATAGTTGGGACAAATATGTCCCAGTATGCGTTAACTGGCGACAATTAATGGATTTTATAGAGTGAGTAAATTTAGGTACTATATAGATTGATGGAAAAATAACAACAGCTTTTAGTTAAAAAAAATATTTATATGTATATTTATTTATGAAACTTAATAAAACAATTTCTGTTTGCTGTGATGCATAAATTCACATTACATAAATCACACACATTGTTAGCGCGATTCTCAAAACCGATCTTAGCACATTGCACACATCTTTTACGTGAAGATTCTTTCTTCATCACGTGGGATGGTAAGGATCGCTTGTGTCCAATATTTTGGATTCGTTTCTTCATCATAAAGGTTAACGGTAAAGCATGCTTCCTTATGGAAAATGTCCCGATCATCGTCCTCGCCACAATTTGGCGATATTCTAGCGACGAAAGTAAACAACCTTCGATTAGATGTTTTCCATGCAGTTTTTCATACATTATATACGAATTATTTATTGCTATGTCTAGTAAGTCAAAAAAAAGCGGAAGGTAAATTTTTATTTAAGATTTTCTGTCAGTTTCATAGGTCACTTTTTTTTATCCATTAGATCTACTCCTTCCATATTTTTACTATATTTACGAACAATATCGGGACATGTAATCTCTAAACATTGTGCCGAACCTACTTGTTTACGTTTCACCTTTTGAGTAGGTATTGGCGACAAGAAATTGGTGAGGAGATGCATCGCTTTATTGTCCATCCACTTGATGAAAGAAATTCCTTCAGAATTGGTTGCATAGATATCGCCTCTCTTCATATCTTTATCTAATGGTAAATGTTTCGGTGTATGTTTTCGCTGATTGCGGACAGTGCCGAAAGATTTTATATTTTGCTTGGCTAAGATGTATTGCATCAGAGGAGAATTGAAAAAGTTGTCTATGTAAACCTCGCATCCTAGTCCGATCAAAGGTTTTGTGAGATCTAGTACGACAGTCTCTCCTAGTCCTATTTCTAGTCCCGATCTTTTTTTATCCATGTATAAGTCGAACTGGAATAAATATTCTGTTTTAGAATCGCCGCGGCACCATTTTGATACCTCTTTTCATAGGTTTATTTTGCATGTATTGAGAGAATAAACGCCTGGTCTTCTTCGTTCAAGATTAGTGCATGTTCATCATCACTATTATCAGCCATGAGATACTCCTCTACTTCTTAAATTTACTATAATTATTGATTAAGGAACATAAAATATAATATTCGGAATGTTAGAAGTTGTGGACCTTTCACGCATATTGGCACACCCATGTCCCTACTAATATGTCTTGTATTTTCATTGCTCATGTAGGTAACATTATAATAAATAATAATAAATTTATAATGACTACTTACCGTTCTACCACAATCAAAAGTGCTAAAACATCCAAATGTAATAAGGAGATATTTGTTTCTTTTTTTACGCACCGTCCTACAAACCTTAAAAAATTAATAGTTTAGTTCAAAAACAATTGATAAGGACTACTGTTTTGTTTTTAATTATTGATTATATCAGTAAAAATGTAAGTTAAAATTTAGGGATACCGGTGTCCCATTTACGTCAAAGGGTTAAGCAAAGAGGTAGGTTTTGCTGCATGCCGAACAAACGGGAATAGTGACAATAAATTTGCATTTGAAAAGTAATATTGAATTGAAAATGCATTGCACATATAATCAAAACATAAATTAATAATAATAAATCTTGTTGGCTATTCTCTATACAAAGTTAACTCCATTTCAATCTCGGCTCGTTTAAATGTTATTTTGTTTCCACGGTTCTAAACGGCATACTGTCGATAAACAAATATACTCGTACTAGGTACCTATCTATTATGAGTATGACACAAGCGCGAATAGTTACTTTATGTCTAACAATGCTCGAGCCGGAGCTACGGATGCATAAACCTGGCAGGTGTCCGATACAATCCACTTACCGTTTGCAATTTTTAGTTGTTTGGCTTTTCGTTCTTATAGAAATTTAATAACTTTTCGCTATCATGTCGGTCTTCAAACGTCTCTATATTTTTCCAGAAGTTTTAAGGCTTCAAAATTCTTTTAGTTTTAGCCAAAACAACACAAACAATAAGCCAGTAAAATAGTAAATATCAAATTTATTACTATACTGGCCTTTGTAAACAACTAATTACGACGCATACATAATCTAATAAAGGAAATATACTTTGATACATGCGATAGTTACTGAAAAACTAAGTTACTATTAAATAAAACTAACATAAATGTACTGCATTGAATACAATATAATTTATTTACATAATATAAAAATATAAAATATTTAAAAACATAAAGGAAGTAAAAATTAAAATTATTCCTATACCCTTTGTGTAGTACCTATCAAGAACGCTGGCTGCGTTTCCTAGCTGAATATCTAAACTAAGCATTTGGTCCAGAAAAGAACCAGCCTTCTTGTCTCCAGCGGCAACGGCATGCATCCAGTTGCAACCAGTCACGGTCACAGTTCCTTTAAAAAAAACTTTATCGTGCGTAGACTCCACGGACCGATAGTATACAGCAAACTTCACAAATATATAGATAGTCATGTTTTTGACTGAAGTTGCTTAAATGAGTATATAATTAATTTCTTGGAGTTGCGTTGCCGATCCTATAAATCCATAACTAGGATATTCACCGTATAAATATGGTAACCGATATAGCCTAATAAGTTGACTTAAAGAACTGCACAGATTCAAAAGTTGTAACACAATATGTGTAGTGGATTGATGTGCCGGGTAGATGGAGTCAAGAAAATGCGTTTCGACAAGTTTTCAGATGACCAGATGACGTTTTCAGAATACAATTAAAACTGACGAACGTGTACACAGTCCACCTGTTGGTAAGTAGACGCTGGAGCCCGTAGTTATAACCTCGATCAAGAATATGAACGCAGCTATGCCTTGTTACTAAGAAAATTAGCAAAATTTGAATGAAAAACTATGCTATAAGCTAAATAATAAGATTTTTGTTATATTTTAAAATAATATTGAAAATACCAATAAATTACATACAGATTTATGTATTAAGTGTATTTTAGTTTATGTAATATTAATTTTCTATATTCTAGATGATTTTGTTTATATTTCTTTTAGGAAATAAAGGAAGTTAAATTTCACAAGTTATTTTAGAAGTTAGCTGTCTACGGCGTCATAATTTTCTTAAAATATTTCATGACGATATGCCAGTTTCAACATGGCGCAAGTCGGTAAAAATGTACCTACATAAAACTTTATTAGATGAAATAACGTTATAAAGTTTTATATTTTGCGTCAACAGCTGAAGCGTTGTGACAATATTATTATATTACTATCATACATTTTGTATATTTAAGTAGTTACTTAGTTTTATTAAAACGTTACAAATAGAAAAAGGTTACAATATAAAATCATTGAACTAATAATATTAATTTTGTACATCCAGATTCCAATGTTATATAATATATTGTTATATTCGCATTTTGCACCTACGTCAAAATATCACCACTCCATAGGTTAACAGTTAGAGAACATACATATTGTATTACATAGTCATTAAATCTGCCTTTTGTTTTATATCTTTTTCAGGGGAAAGCAAATAAAATGTTTCATCCACCTATTTCCATCCATTGCAACCGATAAAAGTCCACTGCTGAACAAAGGCCTCCATCATAATTTGTCTCATAGGGAGGATTTTGCCATGGTTGGCAGGATTGGGAACACCAGTTTCTTATTCTTTTAAATTGTTATCAGGAAGACGCTGCTGCCAATCTCCCGTTTCACCTTTTACGACACCCACAGGCCAATACGGGGCAGTAGATATTCCTACACTGCCGTTACACGGTGAGGGTTTTCAATTAAAAAAAAAACGTTATTTTTGTATACTGGGCATACGTAGGCTATCAACCTCGGTTGGATCGCCGCCGGTACCAATAAAATGATTAATTGCAATTTTACTACGTGCTCACCGGTGACAGGAAACAACGTTCAACGAACAACAATCCGGGATGCCTTAGAAATAAAATATTCCGAGGACACGTGAAATCCGCCAACACATAATGAACTAATTGCTTTATAAAACTCTCCTTTCCTCTCTCTTCTGAAATAAGAGGTCTGTGCCGAGCATTGGCGCGTATAGTAGTGGTAACTTGGTGACTTGTGAACTGTGTGCTCGTTTGTCACCCTTATCCTGTAAAAAAATATTACTTCACGGGCAGTTTTTGACAGTGCCGGAATTCACATCTTCGAAATATGTATTTTGTTTCTCAAACCCTGCATGGGTTCTCATGATATTAAAATGTTATAAATTAACAACTAGCATCTTCTAGTATTTCTATTTTTTATCACAAGCAGTTGGTATTTTTTTAAAAACTAGGTTTAGTTTTAATTCGTGTATTTTTAAAATGCATGCTTCAAAGTTGTTATGCCACAACGTATTTCCGAAGATATCGCTGAGAAATTCTAAATGCGACTATTCTTAAATATGATATAGATTAAAGGGAAAACTTAATATTTAATATGAAGTAAAAGTCAAGTTCACAGAACTAAAAATACCGAAATGATTTCCACGTAAAAGCTTTTGAAGTCGGTGCTGAGGCATAGCGTTTTTTTTTTAGAATGGGGATGACAAACAATCACAGTCCACCTGATGTTAGGTGGATGCCGTAGCCCATAGACATCTATATGTATCCTCGATTAAGAATCAAATGCAGATGCGTTTTCACCCGTGAGGACTAAGGTGGAATGCTTGGTTTCCAGTGAAAATAGTCTCCGGTTCCTACACTCACCATACGAAACACAGCGGCATTAAGCTGCTATTTTACGTCGGTATTTTGTGAGAGCGTGGTTCCACCCCGGTCGAGCCGACCTATTCGTGCTACAACCATAACATATCTGCAGCGTGGCTCCACCACGTATATAAAGCATGTAGAAGAATTAAAATGTGGACATTATTTTATTCTTTTTAATTCTTTGTAGGCTTTTACTTTTTATCAAAAGTATAATTTTATGAGCCTTTTTAGTTGGTTGAGGAATATCACAAGCACAATCATACTTAAACTAAAATGTCATCCAACTAATTATATTAAAAATTATCGCCATTGTGGGTGGTATCTATTCTTCCATCCTGCAATTTATGACCATCACGTAACATCCTGAATTTCATGACCTTTTTAATAAAAAGAAGCAACATTTTGTCTTGAATTGACGAAGATATAGCGTAACATACCTACAAAAATACACAGTCGCATTGAGACCGTCCTCCTTTTTTGAAGTCGGTTAATATCATCAGAATTACATCATAACATGTATTTGGGGTCAATGTTTCCAACTCATTTGCCAAGCGTTGCAACTATGGAAATTATCCCCATTATGAGACCTATGGAGGAGAACTATGAACAGCAGTGGACTTTAATAGGCTGTAACGGTAACGGTATGTGTTTTGGGCAGATGCGTCAACATTGTCAGTTTAAAAAAGATTGTTCAGAAAATCCTACATAAAAATTATGAACATTGAAAAATAGGAATAAAATAAGGCAATTTTTATTTCTCTTTTTCAAAGTTGTAAGAAACTATCCCACTTCTGATGTAAGAAATTATTCTCAAAATTATTTAATTAAAAGAATATTACTCGTATTAGAAATTACTCTGAAGGTTAATTGTTAAAAATAAAAAAGTGTGAGAGTGGATGTTAAAATTGCTCTCTTGCTTACGCAATTAATCGTTATCAGAAATGAGACAGCGTACTGCACTACACATTCAGCATAGAGCAAACACAGTTCGACCGACCGTAATATGTCTCCTTCACAATTACACACTGCACTAATACAACGTGAAGGACAAAATTACAAGATCATCTCAATGCAACAAGATCTTCCTTGCTTACACTAAAAGAACCAACACAACAAACAGAACCACGTCACTTGTCTTACTTAGGCAGAATCTTAGTGTAGAGGTAATGTTTTAGCCCAACGGGCATAATAACGACAGTGAGACTCGTAGAATTACAGAGTGATCC